AATTATGATTTCCTATTATCTATCAACCGAGCCTACACTAAACTCTTGCTGTTCAAAACCACTATAATATGACCTTGTCTATTCAAAGTTATGTCTAGAGATGAGAACTGTGGGTCAAAATGGCTACAAATTCTTTGCAGTTCCTACTTCCATTCCCTATATGTGGAAAGTCCCTTTGACTTGTAAAGATTAACAGAATGTGGCAGTAGTGATACTGTGTAACTTTTCATGCTTGGCCTCAGGAGGATTTGCAGTTTCTACTTTTGCCCTCTTAGAACACTGCAAGGTAAGAAATCTGGGCTATCCTTCTAGAGAAGCCAGATAGAGGGGAACAAGCTGATGGCCCCTTAATCACCAAATATATGTGAAGTCATCAGACTGCCCAATCACAATGGAGCCACTAGATGGCTGCAACCACATCAGTGACCCCAGATATAATTAGAAAAACAGTCCAGCTGAGGCCAACTGAAATCGAATAATCAGAAGTAAATAAATGTTCATTGGTTTATGCTACTATGTTTTTATTTTATATCTATGTGTGTGTGTGTATATATATACATTTTGTTATATATGAAACCCCAGTTTTTAAAAATAATTCAATAAGAAAACAAATAACTCAATTTGTAAAGAAGCAACAAATCTGAGTAGATACTTCACCAAAGCACATATATGAATAGCAAATAAGCACATAAAAAAATGCTCACCATCATTAATCATTACAGAAATGCAAACTGAAACTATAATTAGATGACACTACAGATCTATTAAAACAGCTAAAGTAAAAACACCTAGCAACAGCATGTGCTAGCAAAGGTGAGAGCTGTAACTCTCAAGCACTGCTGGTGGAAATGGAAAATAGTTCAAGTACTCTGGAAAACATCTGGGTAGCCTCTTATATAAAGTTAAAATGCACTTACACATGACCCAGCAATTCCACTCCTAGGTATTTACCCAAGGGAAATAAAAACTCACAGACAGAAACTCGTTCATAATAGCCCCCCTCCCAATGGAAATATTAACATCTTTCAACTGGTGAATGCATTTAAAGACAACAACATTGACACAAACACACTATGAAATACTGCTCAAAAATGAACTACCAATACACAAAGTAGCACTGATGAATCTCAAATATATCATGTTAAATTAAAGAAAAAAAAAAGACTTAAAGGCTATCTATTGCATGATTCTAGTTATATGACATTTTGGAACAGAAAAGAAACACAGAATAGAAAATAGATCAGTAGATGCCAGGGACAGAAGGTAGAATATAATTTTAACTACAAAAGGGAACAACAGAATCCTGGAGTGAAACAGAATTCTTCTATAATTTGACTGTGGTGCTGGTTACATGACTGTAAGGATTTATCAAAATTCATAGACATTTATGCTAAAAGGAATGAATTTTACCATATAGAAATTATTCATCAACAATTCAGAATTAAATATACATATAGACACACACAGAGATACACACAGCATGATGCTTTTGAACTGCAGTATTGGAGAAGACTCTTGAGAGTCCCTTGGACTACAAGAGGATCAAAATCAGTCAATCCTAAAGGAAATAAACCCTGAATATCCATTGGAAGGACTGATGCTGAACATGAAGTTTTAATACTTTGGCTACCTGATTCGAAGAACCAACTCATTGAAAAAGACCCTGATGCTGAGAAAGACTGAAGGCAACAGGAGAAGCAGGTGGCAGAAAATGAGATGGTTGGACAGCATTACTGATTAAATGGACATGAATTTGAGCAAACTCTGAGAGACAGTGGAAGACAGAAGAGCCTGGCATGCTGCAGTCCATGGTATTGCAAAGAGTCAGATAAGACTTAGCGACTGAAAAACAACATACAGCAACCTCCCCGCGTTGATCTAAAACATTCGTATCCCTCAGAGTGATGATCTGCAAATTATTTTCCTATGTTTGTAGTCCTATCAACAAGATTAGCAAACACAAGCTAGAGGGTTGGGTAACCGCTTTTAAAAAATGACTGTCCTGAACGCTTAAAAATTGCAGTTTCAGACTTCCGACTTACTTTCCAATTTCAAGCCATATACCATATCTCAAAGAAATAATCTAACTTTACAAGACAACTGAATTAGGTGGTTCCAGTGGTAAAGAATCCACCTGCCAATGCAGGAGACACAGGAGATGCAGATTTGATACCTGGGTCAGGAAGATCCCCTGGAGGAGGAAATGGTAACCTATTCCAGTATTCTTGCAGGAATAATCCCATGGACAAAGGAGCCTGGTGGGCTATATAGTCCATAGGGTTGCAAAGAGTCTGACACAACTGAGCATGCACACATGCAGGCTTCTGGGTTACTTTCTAATTCCAATCCACATACTGTATCTCAAAAAAATAATCTAGCTTTATAGACATTTGAATTAATTCTACATAGTCTACCTTCTGAACATATTTTCTTATAAAAAAAGACAAAGAAAGCTGAGTATGAAATATTACAATAAAGGGAGAAAAAGGAACCAATGCCACCAGCACTTCTACTGCTCTTCCTTTGATATCAGGGACTTTAAAATAAAATCTCTTTGGAGAAAACACAAACGGTCCTACCAATAAAGTTGATGGAAAGGCCTGAGGAAGTTTTCTTTCCTAATTAATTACATATTTTCTTGAAATTATTTGTGTGTGCATGTGTGTATACAGGGTCATTTGCTTCATCTGTGCTTTCAGATTGTATATATGCTATAACATGACATATCAAATATCTACACTCTTAGAAGTTGTCTCTACATTTGAGAAGCTGAGCACTTAATTCTTCAGCAACATGAAAGACTACAAAGAAAGTGACTTAAGAAACACAAAAGATTATTTTGCAGAGGGAATAACTCATATTAAAGCAAGTGTTCCTTCATGCAATAGAAACAAATATTGGGCTGGCCAAAAAGTTCATTCAGGATTTTTCCATGTCATCTTAAAGAAAATCCTTAACAAACTTTTTGGCCAACCTAATGCCTGGCAGTTAGAAATAAGCCAACTGAAGTATCAGTATTTAAGTTGAAATTAGGGGGAAAGTTAGCAATTTTTTTATAAGCCTAAATTAAGAGGCAACTCTTTTTTCAAGGAGCAAAATTCCTATAATGTAGAATAAGATCTTACTACAAGGATTCTCCAAAATTAACTACTCTTGCTGATCTGCTACATGAGATGTTTAGTTGAGATTTCTGAATCATTTACTTCTCACTGGTTTCTACTCAAGAATGAAAGTGAAAGTCACTCAGTTAGTCCATGGAATTCTCCAGCCCAGAATACTGGAATGGGTAGCTGTTCCCTTCCCCAGGGTATCTTCCCAACCCAGGGATCGAACCCAGGTTTCCTGCATTGCAGGCGGATTCTTCACCAGCTGAGCCAAAAGGGAAGCCACTCTATTCAGACAGGCAAAACAATTCACCAGTTCCCTGGCTTTCCACTCAAACTGCCAGGATTCAAAGTAAGTGCCATCATTTGTGAAAACTGTGATCCTGGGAAAAATTAAATCACTTAATGTTCTGTGGATTCCTTATCTGTTAAATGGTTATAAAATCAGAACCAGCATCCCATCAAAAAGTTGTGGAATTCAATGAGATAATCCATATAAAGTCCTTGGCACAGTACTTGGCATGAAACAAACCCTCAACAAATGACAGCTACTATCACTAACTTCTAACTATTGATCTTTGGTTCCCGTAACAGACGAGTGAGACTCTACTCAAAGACCATCCTTTTCCAGGAGCCTCCCTGGCTCTTCTCAACAAGGAAATGAAATGATACACAACTTCCAAAAAGGAATCTGTCCGCTTTCTAATTCCTGATTACTTTGTACTTTGCTGACGGGCACTACTCCTACAAATGACAGGGATGATGTTTCATTCATTGTTGTAAAACTCATTTAACACATACCCCAGCTTTCCAAAGAACATAAAGAGGTCAAAAATAATATCAGGGTGAAGAAAAGTTATGAAACTAAACAAAAAGGGAAGAACTGAGTTCTAAATAAAGAGTGAAGGGCAGTGAGGACAGGGAAGCACCAAGGGTGGATGATGCTGCCACCTACATTTCTTCATAGAATGTAGAAATGTAGAAGGCTCCTCAGCCTCCACAGCATCACTCTCTCCAGTCCTCCTTCTCCAATTACTCTGAAGGCTCTATGCACAACAGAAGCTTCCACTTTCAAATCCTCAGTTCATTTGTTTCTTAAAAAAGAAATGACTTTGTATTCTTTTTCTCTACACTATTTCCCTTAGAGTCAATTACCACTTGTAGATGAGTCTCACTTTTTCATCTTCTCAAATCTTCAACTGCTGTCTGGAGAGACAGCAAGCACTAAATATACAATCACCCTCATATTTAAGTACAAGGAATGAGAAGATACTAAAGAACTTCTAAATTCAATAACTTTGAAAACAAATAGAGATTATCTATTTAACACTATGTTCACTTGCTCCCCAAAATACAGAACTTTGTTTTTCCCAAAAGTTGATGACTTCTAACAGATATTTTTCACATTTTTTAATAGACTAGAAGTAGCAATTAGAATAAATCTATAGATTCCAGATACAGCTGTTTTAAGAATGAATTTTTTTCATTTCTTAAGTTACAGTTAGATTAACTTAGTCTCTCAATTATTATAACGTGTTTACTATACCCCATGATGAAAATTTTAATATGGACTAATTCAAATCATACAAAGTTTAATTTATTAAAATTATCAAAATGCTGAAGATAATTTGAAACAAAATATAAGTATATAAATTGAATAGCACAGTTTTTCTATACTAAAATTCATATGTAAAACAAGATCTACAAGAGTAACTCTCTATGTTAACTACATAGAGAAGCAGTAAAAAAAAAAAGTACCTTACTAAGATATTAAAATTTTTGCAAAAATAGCAGTTTATAGAAATCATTAAGTTTTTTTAATAGCTGACTGAAGCCCTGCACCTAAAAACAAAGTACAATATTTCACCATTCTTCCCTCAGTTTTTTAGAACCTACCGGAGAGATTCAGCCATTCGCCTCAAGTCTTCATTTTGCTGTTTTAAGCGTTCAAGCTTTGCCAAAATCTTGGACAGTTCTCGGCTAGAATGATCAGGGTGGTCATTATCTCGTACCAAGTGACCACCTATATAAAACAGCAAGGTCCCCCAGGCAAAAAGAATGAGCATGATCCAACGCCAGGAACCAGTCCATGGCCGCATTTTCAGAGTTTCAACTCACTCTCCTGGGGTCCTGGAGCTCAAAGAATTAAAAACATCATCACTCCGTTTCTAACCAGTGCAAAGGTTGTAGGCTTCTGTTGCTTCAACACATGATGCTTCAGACAAATTAGTCTCTCCTGTAGTCCTATGGTGACTCTTTCAAGAGATCCTCCTGGTGGTATGAGTAGGAAGTTTTATTTTCCTGTGCTTCATGGACTCTACATGCTGTGGAAAGAGAAAGAAATGTATTTATTCAGGAAGTGTAAAATAGCATAAGCTGAGATTCATGGAGTTAAAAGAAACATATTAGTTTTAAGTAGCCAAAAGGCTGGCAAATAATGTAACAAGGAAAAAAGGAAAAGCTTTTACATCTCCATATTAAATCAAGTCTCTATAACAGAAATTAATTAGCTCTAAGACTGAAGGTGCTCCATACCCCATTATTACTTTTCCTTCTAACATCACTGTGCAATATAGCACATATACTGAGATTAAAAGACGTTATCTTTGAAAACCCACTCAAAACCAGACAAAATGTACTCAACTACATATTCTGGGCTAATATTCCCATTATCTCAAACTGAAACATGTTTTCTGTATGAGGGAATTCATTTCTACAAAATTTCAACTGCACCCCCTTCTCACTGCTCAGCTGTCATCACACCATTTCACTCTGCAGGTGACAGGTAAGTTAGCTAAGTAAAGGTTATCACAGCCATTACACAGCTGGCAACCACTCCAAACACCATAAGCAAAGATTCATATGGATTATGGTAGATTATTCCTTCCTCAAATTTATTTTAAAATATCAACAATTGCAACAGAAGTCTAACACCCCTTAAATTTTAGTTACTGTGCATCATACACTACAAAATGGATATGCTTTCTCAGGCTAGGTTATTGGTTTCATTTGTCACTTCTACATCATTAAGCTTTGAATTTTTTGGAAACAAAACAATTTTCTCCCCAAGGAAAAAATCTGTAGGCAAAGATATAACTTTAATACCATTTGATAATTCCAGAGCTATGTAAGAAAAGTCTTATTTCCAGGCACAGAGGTGCTTGTAAAAGAGAAGAGAGAAAAGAAATAGTTTCTATATACAAAACAATATGATGTGTGCTTAACCATTAATTAAATAGTTAAGAAAGACTAGACAGAAAAGTTGAAGAAATGGTTTCAACAATTAAAGAATATGACTATGATTCTTGTCCTTTTGAACCCCAAATCTCAATTAAAAAATCCACCCTAATGGCCTAAGGGATGTATTTAATTCAGTACGTTGACAAAAGAAGTACTAACATTTGTGTTAATAATACTGTCTGACAATACATGCACCACTGTAAAATGCCGTATTACCATATGTTGAACCTATAATACATTCTACTCAATACTAAGCTATACCAATAAGACATTAAAAGTGTTAAATCTTCCCCTTCATAGAAAAAGCTAACCTAGAAAGACAAATGTGATAAACAAAAGTATAGAGTTTTCTAAACAAGAATCACCTCAATAACAAATAATAAAAGATGTGCTGTAACATTTTACTTAAAATTATAACAATTATCATAAATATTAAAAGCCAGCAAAAGTATAAAATAATTTGAACAGTAACAAGTTTATGGAAACATAAATTTTGTCATACCAAGTGCTTTGGGATTTTATATGCCATCAAAAATATTTAAGATATTAAACTACTACGTGGAAGAGGAGAAACTGTGCTCAGTTGCTCAGTTGTGTCCGACTCTTTGTGACCCCATGGACTGTAGCCCGCCAGGCTCCTCTATCCATGGAATTTTCCAGGCAAGAATACTGGAGTGGTTTGCCATTTCCTCCTCCAGCGAATATTTCTAACCCAAGGACCGAATCTGCGTCTGCGGCACCTCCTGCATCGGCAAGCAGATTCTTTACTGCTAAGCCACCTTGGAAGCCCATTAAATTACTGCACTTTACAGTAATGTTGATATTGCATATGAAAAGCAAGAAATTATTGTAGGAGCAAAACATGGTCATTTCTTAATTAATAACATGATTTTAATTCTGTCTTTAGAGAATATTTCCCCAAAGTTTGTTGTTTTAACCAATATTGTAAAAAGTGATCAACAAAAATAAGCTGAAACCAAGTAGTCTTCTATGTAATTTTCCTTAGTATGGTTTAAAAGAGCACATATATAACTTTTTTCTTATCTATAATGAATGTGTGCTTACTTACCTATCATGTTTATTGTTTATTTTTGAACCATACCAACCAAAATGTTAACTTAATGATTTTTATTCATGTTCACTGACATATCCAAAGTACAGTATTTAAAACTTAGTTACAAATATTTTTTAATAAATAAATGAATGAGTGAAGATGTCATAATGGCATGTGCCTCTATGATACATAATACAAAATCTGAGCACATCAACCTCAACTGCATTTTATGCTCTAGAAAGCAAATACGAATGTAGAATGCAGAGGACAGTGCCATTATAAGGAAAATAAAATCATTCAACAACTTTAGGGTTTATTATTATTAACATATACTTTACAAGACATCCCTTAAGTATTAAAATAAACTGGTCTAAAAAGTCAATAAGATCAGCAATCTTATGGCTACCTTTCAGCCATTAAAAATAATTCTCTATGTCTTAATTTTCCTCATCTAGAAGATTCACTCTGCAAAGACAATGGGATAGCCGAAGGAAGTATGTACAACCTTTCATATGAAAGCCACTCAGTTTATTTGTGGATGAATTTATTAGTGAAAATATTTCAAATTTATTAGCAAAAATATTTCAACATTAACTACATAAGCTAATTTCTGAATAAAATTTATAAAAAGTATTTGCTGAGATTTCTTCTTTGAGTGGGTTGTTTTCTTGTCAAGTATTTATGAATTCATTTCTGTTTGAGATTCACATACTACCCTTCACCTGCAAAATAGTAAATGGATCAAAATGTGTCAGGCTTCCTTCTGAAACTTTATTCCTTTATAAAATAAAACATCTTTTATAGACACAATTACAATATTTTATGCAATTTATATACCATGTGTTATTAAGGCAATGTCTAAAATGGCTATTAACGATCCTCCTGTCCTATAACCATATCTTTGTGTAATCTCCTTCTTCTGAGTGTGGGCAGGACCTAAAGACTTAGTTCTTATATGGAATACAGAGAAAATGACTGAATTTCACTTCTGAGATAAGGTTATAAGAGATAAAGCTACCACACTGTGAGCTGCCCATGTGGAAAGGAACTCATTCCTGCCAACAACCATGTGAGTGAACTTGGAAATGGATCCTCCACCAGTCAAGCCTTGATACCACTGAAGCTTGATTGACATTTTAATTTCAGGTTTTTGAAAGATCCTGAGCCAGAAGATCCAGCTAAAGCCATGGCCAGATTCCTGGCCAAGAGATTAAGTTTTTTAAGCCACTTAGTCTTAGGGTAATCTGTCACGCAGCAATAGACAATACATAGGTCTACTCTCCCTGCCAGACTGAGTACCTGGCCTTCAATTCACATGTTGCTTTTTCTGTCCCCAGCAAGATGTACAAAGTCTGAGACACAGAGTAGGCATCCAAGATGCAGGACAGAACTGAATCTTAATCACAGTTTTCTTAATATCCTGCTAATAACTCTTGCAAATACTATAAAAATTAAATTCAGTTTACAACAAATAAGATATTTGACAAAAGTATAATTATTAGTTTATAATATATCAAAAGTCTAAAAGCATTTCTATCAATGTTTACTAAACAGACTTCTTAAAAGACACTTGCTCCTTGGAAGAAAAGTTATGACCAACCTAGACAGCACATTAAAAAGCAGAGACATTCCTATGCCAACAAAGGTCCATCTAGTCAAAGCTATGGTTGTTCCCGTAGTCAAGTCTGGATGTGAGAGTTGGACTACAAAGAAAGTGGAGCACCGGAGAATTGATGCTTTTGAACTGTGGTGTTGGAGAAGACTCTTGAGAGTCCCTTGGATTGCAAGGAGATCCAACCAGTCCATCCTAAAGGAGATCAGTCCTGGGTGTTCATTGGAAGAACTGATGCTGAAACTGAAACTCCATTATTTTGGCCACCTGATGGGAAGAACTGATTCATTGAAAAAGACCCTGATGCTGGGACAGATTGAAGGCGAGAGGAGAAGGGGATGACAGAGGATAAGACAGTTGGATGGCAACACCAACTCAATGGACATGAGTTTGAGTAAGCTCTGGGAGTTGGTGATGGACAGGGAGGCTTGGCATGCTGAGGTCCATGGGGTCACAAAGAGTCGGACACGACTAAGCAACTGAACTGAATTGAAACAGACTTCCACTTCTAACCATGAAAGAATATAGATTTGTCCTCACATATAAACAACTAGAAAACGAAAAGAAAAAGAAAAAAATTTAGGAAAACAGTTTTCAGACATTGGGCAAAGGTCAGACAAGACTGTAACGCCTGAGAGAAGGTCAACAACCAAATGTTAAGCCCTATGTTCACTGCAGGTTTCTAACTAAACTTTATTGAACACCAGGACAAAAATGGATAATTCAAGCAAAGCACAGCTATCTTCTTGAGGTGAGAAGATAAGAAACAGAAAAAAGTTTAGAGAGTATAGCCAATTAACAATGTTTTAATAGTTTCAGGTGCACAACAGAGTGACTCAGCCATACATAAAATAAAAAGTTAAAACAAAAACAGTATGATACCAGCATGAAAACAGACACTAATGGGATAAAATAGAGAGTCCAGAAATAAACTCAAATACATGGTCAACTCATTTTTTTAAAACTTAACTTTGGTTAAAAAATATATTGTATTAAAACATCTTATTTTAAAATAAATAAAAAAGTTAAGGGAATGTAAGGTGGCTGGAATCTGCGAGCCAGTGTACCAAAGTGAAGACAGCTACCCAGAGAAAAGGCTCCAGAAATGTGCAGAGGTGATCCTTAGAGTATCCGGCCAGACACTAAGATGTGCATGCATAGTCAGGCCTCATAAGACTTGCAAAGAATACCAAGGAAAGAAAAATTAAATGTAGCTGAAAGCTGTACATTTTTCAGAGATTTTACAAAGGGGAAACATATGACTTCCAACCAAACAGAATGAAAATATCACAGAAAACCTGGGCTATTCAGTAGAAAGCCAAGAAATAAAACATTTTATAAGTTAGGGTTAAGCAAGTCTTAGATCAAAGATCAGAAAATGTTTTCTGTAAAGGGCAAGACAGTAAATATCTCAGACT